TGACCTCCGCAGTGCGCATTAGGGATGCGCCGATACTTGTACTCGCCCAAATGCTCCGATGCCTGGCACAAGTACTTCCTGTATCAGCATCACACGCTGCCCGCTTTCCTGATTGGCCCGGGAAGCGGCTCCATGCTCTCTCGTCCCTTGTGATGAGAGAGCATGGAGCAGACTTCCCGGCCAATCAGGAAGCCGGGCAGCGTGTAATGACACAGCGCTGCCCGGCTTCCTGATTGGTCGGGAATCTGGACAATCAGGAAGCCGGGCGCCGTGTAATGACGCAGCGCCCCCGGCATATTGATTGGCCGGGAAGCCGGCTTCATGCTCCCTCGTCATCTCATGACGAGGGAGCATGGAGCCGGCCAATCGGAAAGCAGGGCGTCGCGTCATTACACGGGGCCCGGCTTCCTGATCGGCCGACCAGACGGCTCCGGCTGGGTACCGGAGGAAGGCGGCTCCTGGCTGGAGAGGCCCCGGGGGTGACCGGCTGGACATGCCGAGGTGAGAGGGGACTTTCTTGTTAATCGGGAAGCCGGGTGGCGAGTCATTACACGAATGGGACTTCCGCTACTCGGTAATTGGTATCGGCGAGTACCGAGAAAAAAAATATCGGTACCAAAATACCGGTATCGGTGCGTCCCTAGTCTGCATGGTTCTCTACCAGTTAGAAGAAATCCTCCAAGTGACGAGTCATTACACGAATGGGACTTCCGCTACTCGGTAATTGGTATCGGCGAGTACCGAGAAAAAAAATATCGGTACCAAAATACCGGTATCGGTGCGTCCCTAGTCTGCATGGTTCTCTACCAGTTAGAAGAAATCCTCCAAGTGAGGCAGGCCACTGGCACTCCAGAAATGAGGGGTGACCTCCAGAAATGAGGGGTGACCTCCAGCAATGAGGGGGGTGACCTCCAGCAATGAGGGGTGACCTCCAGAAATGAGGGGTGACCTTCAGCAATGAGGGGTGGCAGACATTAGCAGGAAATGAAAACGTTTCTTATAACAGTCCGGGACATTCTGTGCCGCACTCTTCGTGTCACAATGCCGGCGAGGGGTCTACGACCGAAAAGCCAATTCACCTGCCGAAACCTTCTCGGGGGGCCATTTAAATTGGGATTGTTTTTCGGATTTACAAGAAACAAGAGTTTACCCCTCGGCGCTAGTTTTGGTGAAGATGAACGTCTGCGGCGGGACAAATCAGATGTCAGGGAAGGGATACGTGATTGGTCGGCTATGATACAGGGCAAGGGCTGGACGTGGTTGTGGTGCTCTTCAGGTTTTGGTCAGAGACCCTCCCATGAGGAGATGAAATCCTGCTAACCAGTCACTCGTATTGGTGAAGAGTTGATTTCCAGCTGTCAGTCAGGATGAGCAGCAGAATCAGACCACCAAGTCCCCGGTGCATCCAGAGAATGGGGTCCACCAACTTGAGGATCACCGCACAGCCGATGGCCCCCTATGAAGAATATTAGTATACCGGGTTCAGAGGTCATCAGCGGAAGTCTGTAGCGGCTCCTCAGCGGGAGGAAGTCCAGCACTAGACATGCGCTGAAGGTACGCACTCTCTCCTGAGAGGAGAACGCCGGATAAATACTTGGGGCATCACATGGTCAGAAGGTCCAATAAGGTTTCCTCGGGTCCTAAACCAGTGTGAAGACCCGCCCCCTGTGTTGCTCTGTCATGAAGACCCGCCCCCTGTGTTGCTCTGTCATGAAGACCCGCCCCCTGTGTTGCTCTGTCACCTTGCTGCAACTACTGGGAAACAGCAGAGGAGATGATACACAAGTCATCAAAGGCGGCCACATTCAGAATTGTATGTCACATGTTCAGGGAGGACACGTAGGAGGAGCTTGTCATATGTGTACATAGTGAAGCTCACAGCAACCAGCGACAACCTCTGGCTCAGGTACTGCGCTGCGCCGGTGCCTCTGACCACAGGGAGCATGCAGTGTCCTATTTCAGCCAACAGATGGCGCCGGTGTCCTCCTAAGGACGGTCACAGAGAAAGTGGTGACACCCAGGACCAGACCGCTAGGAAGTGAGTGGGAGGAGCAAGGGTCCTCAGGGGTGTGTCTGAGAACACTCATCTTCCCGCCAATCATCATTAGAGATCGCTTGAAAATGACTTTATTCCCCCGGCATGCAGGTTGGTAATAGCGTGCGTTATCTGGAGGACTCCGACACACCTCACACTCAGCTGGCTGAGGGGCGGGCAGTCAGTCCGGGGCGTGTTGCAGCAACCAATCAGAAACCTTTACTGGGAAGAAAAGAACATCTAGATTATAGCGGCGCAGTTCTTCCCACAGACTTAGTGCTGCAAGCCATATATGGAGAAAGATGATGTCACTTCCTGTGTCCCCAACAGAGTACACTGACAGTGGGGGGACTGCACCCCCAGGTCCATTCATAGCACACACGCAGCACAGACAGCGCAGAGCACACACAGCGCAGAGCACACACGCAGCATAGACAGCACAGAGCACACACAGCGCAGAGCACACACGCAGCACAGAGCACACACGCAGCACAGACAGCGCAGAGCACACACAGTGCAGAGCACACACGCAGCATACACAGCGCAGAGCACACACAGCGCAGAGCACACACGCAGCACAGACAGCACACAGCACACACAGCGCAGAGCACACACGCAGCATAGACAGCGCAGAGCACACACAGCGCAGAGCACACACGCAGCATACACAGCACAGAGCACACACAGCGCAGAGCACACACAGCACAGAGCACACACAGCACAGAGCACACACGCAGCACAGACAGCACACACAGCGCAGAGCACACATGCAGCATAGACAGCGCAGAGCACACACAGCGCAGAGCACACACAGCGCAGAGCACACACGCAGCATACACAGCACAGAGCACAGACAGCGCAGAGCACACACTACAGTAAGGGCCAGTTTGTGTGTTTGTGTATAACACAAGTTGGTGAATGTCTCCTACACCGTACAAAGCCTGCACTCCCCTCTGACCAGCACTCCCCTCTGACCAGCACTCCCCTCTGACCAGCCCTCCCCTCTGACCAGCACTCCCCTCTGACCAGCCCTCCCCTCTGACCAGCACTCCCCTCTGACCAGCCCTCCCCTCTGACCAGCACTCCCCTCTGACCAGCCCTCCCCTCTGACCAGCACTCCCCTCTGACCAGCCCTCCCCTCTGACCAGCACTCCCCTCTGACCAGCCCTCCCCTCTGACCAGCACTCCCCTCTGACCAGCCCTCCCCTCTGACCAGCACTCCCCTCTGACCAGCCCTCCCCTCTGACCAGCACTCCCCTCTGACCAGCCCTCCCCTCTGACCAGCACTCCCCTCTGACCAGCCCTCCCCTCTGACCAGCACTCCCCTCTGACCAGCCCTCCCCTCTGACCAGCACTCCCCTCTGACCAGCCCTCCCCTCTGACCAGCACTCCCCTCTGACCAGCCCTCCCCTCTGACCAGCACTCCCCTCTGACCAGCCCTCCCCTCTGACCAGCACTCCCCTCTGACCAGCCCTCCCCTCTGACCAGCACTCCCCTCTGACCAGCCCTCCCCTCTGACCAGCACTCCCCTCTGACCAGCCCTCCCCTCTGACCAGCACTCCCCTCTGACCAGCCCTCCCCTCTGACCAGCACTCCCCTCTGACCAGCCCTCCCCTCTGACCAGCACTCCCCTCTGACCAGCCCTCCCCTCTGACCAGCACTCCCCTCTGACCAGCCCTCCCCTCTGACCAGCACTCCCCTCTGACCAGCCCTCCCCTCTGACCAGCACTCCCCTCTGACCAGCCCTCCCCTCTGACCAGCACTCCCCTCTGACCAGCCCTCCCCTCTGACCAGCACTCCCCTCTGACCAGCCCTCCCCTCTGACCAGCACTCCCCTCTGACCAGCCCTCCCCTCTGACCAGCACTCCCCTCTGACCAGCCCTCCCCTCTGACCAGCACTCCCCTCTGACCAGCCCTCCCCTCTGACCAGCACTCCCCTCTGACCAGCCCTCCCCTCTGACCAGCACTCCCCTCTGACCAGCCCTCCCCTCTGACCAGCACTCCCCTCTGACCAGCCCTCCCCTCTGACCAGCACTCCCCTCTGACCAGCCCTCCCCTCTGACCAGCACTCCCCTCTGACCAGCCCTCCCCTCTGACCAGCACTCCCCTCTGACCAGCCCTCCCCTCTGACCAGCACTCCCCTCTGACCAGCCCTCCCCTCTGACCAGCACTCCCCTCTGACCAGCCCTCCCCTCTGACCAGCACTCCCCTCTGACCAGCCCTCCCCTCTGACCAGCACTCCCCTCTGACCAGCCCTCCCCTCTGACCAGCACTCCCCTCTGACCAGCCCTCCCCTCTGACCAGCACTCCCCTCTGACCAGCCCTCCCCTCTGACCAGCACTCCCCTCTGACCAGCCCTCCCCTCTGACCAGCACTCCCCTCTGACCAGCCCTCCCCTCTGACCAGCACACCCCTCTGACCAGCACACCCCTCTGACCATTCTTCCCCCCGCAGTCATTGATATGGAGTTGTCCCCCTTTTGTGGCCGTACCATCCTCCACTCTTCTGGGGAGGCGTCCACAAGGGTTAGGGGCGTGTCTGAGGGAATGTGTCCCATGTGTGAGGTCAGGTACGGATGTTGGAGGAGAAGGCCCGGGGCTCATGCTCAGTAGGGATGAGGTCAGGTACGGATGTTGGAGGAGACGGCCCGGGGCTCATGCTCAGTAGGGATGAGGTCAGGTACGGATGTTGGAGGAGACGGCCCGGGCTCATGTTCAGTAGGGATGAGGTCAATGTACGGCGTTGTCTGAGTTTGGTAGGCGGGTGACACGCAGATATTTCACCAGGTTCTTTTTAATTTGTCAATTCTAACACTAAAAAGTGATCCCTACAGACTGCAGCATTGCGCGGAGCCGCCGTGACATCGGTACCGTCATACAATCATCGAATTTCATGGCTGGATTTGGAGCATCTCTCGAGGGCCGTTTGCAGAAACTTGGGCAGTGAGAGCTCTTGGCGCTGTGAGGGTCGTAGGGGAAGACTCGGCAGCCACATTCACCCGTCACATCGGTGGCCCGGCTAACTCTGGTTGAATTTGCCGGCTTTCCTGGAAGGCACGTAGGGCACCCGCAGAATGCTGGGCGTCTCTTCCATCACCCGCACCAACAAGTTGTCGATGTAGTCCTCCAGCTCCCGAATGTGACCGTCCTTCTTCTTCAGGAGTTCTTTGTGCTTGAGCAGCTCCCGTTCAACCTCGGAACGCGTCAGGTGAC